AATATGACTCACAATAGCAGCATCTGAGCATTGCCTAATAGTAACGCCACTGGTACGTGTTGGAATTATGGAGGAACTCTCATGCAGTTCTGAGGTTAACATCGGTTTAATTTCACTTTCAATTTGTGGATTTTTGAAAACATTTATTATGGTTCTAATAACAAAAAAAAAAATCTGCAGATATTCCACCTACAGCACTATGGCTTCAGTTCCCCTGTTGGTGCCTGGATCCAACTCAGCCAAAATTCCTGACGTAGGGACGATGTCAGTGCAGTTTTTAAAGGGTCTGAACTCCACTGGAATTAGATGAAACAAATAAAAATGGAATAAATGGACGAGTCAAACATAGAGTGGATTTTTGAAAATATACATGGCGACGAACACATTAATCAACACCAGTAAATGATACATCTCATAGGATATTCAATATACAGAACATTCACTGAACTCCAAATCAGAACCGCACAGCATTCTGGGAGATGTAGGCAGAGGAAAGGCTTTGGCTGCTCAACCTCTCACAACTAGCTAAGCAAGGTGGGTGGCATCGGCTAACTCACTCACTCTTTGGTCAGTTTTGTTTACTGAGACTTCATAATTTGCTTTATTTGGTGTTTCTATTGTTTTGTTTATTTATTTGGATATTTAAAATGACTTCCAGTTCCAATATCTGTCAAATTCAAATTGAAAATGTATTGATCTTTGAGGATCTGTTCTTGCATTATTAGCATTATATCACCTGAAAATGCTCTTAAAATAACAATAATATTGTTCATCACAGTTATTTCTGGGACAATTTATCATCCACCCAAATTTGTTATGAGAGGGCTAACCAGAGCACACCATAATAGTTAAAATATTTAACTTTTTCATTTTTTTTTTCCATTGCTCCTGCCAAAGATTCCTACAACTGAGATCATCATCAACACCAAACTTACTTCACTTCCTGTTCTTGTGACTAAAGTCATAATTCTGAACCAGAAAAAGATTCACCAAAATAAACGTTACGCATTTTAGTTCACACTTTGTTTTACTGGTTCAAATAAACTTTCGAAGAAAAAAAAAAAAAGCAAGGCTCTCTAAATCTCCACAACTGTTGGATTTTCGCTAATTATTTTTTTGCTTATTCGCAGAGAGAACAACAAGAAATCAGTTCTTTAGATCCTACAAATGCATTTTAACCCAGCAGGCGCCTTTTTGTGCACACACCGTTAAAACGAAAGCACACCAATCCAATCCAGTTCTTAATTAAACCAATAAAACAATTAGTTGGGCAAATGAACAGAGATAAAAACTTGACTTGAACAAGAGGGGGAAAAGAATTTAATGGACACCTGAACAAAGTTTTGCAGTCGCATTGCCTATCTAGACAAAGACGTGAGTTATGGGCTTCGCAGAACCGGTGAGGCCGTGAAGGTGCCAAGTCAACGGAGCAGAGTCAGGATGGGTAGGCTTCGGGGCTGGAGAGAGGGGAGAGCGTGGAGTTTGGAGGTGAATGTTAATCACTTCAGGAGCAGAAGTCAGAGCGCTGCAGGTGCTTCCTCTACAAAGAACCATTGACTGGACTGGCTTTACCCCAAACCGCTTGCTATTGCACCCCGCTTCAGTCAGTTCACAGCCACCGGAACGCACTTCCCATGCACAATCCATCACAGCCAAGGAACCTCTGAATCACAGCCACTTCAGCTTTCACACACACATATCTGTCATAAAAGTAACCTGTCAGACAATATATTCGCTTTTTGTACTGTTAGATTTTTTGTTTGTTTGTTTGTTTGTTTGTTTGTTTAAAGGGCCGGTGTTATGTAGATTTGACTTTTTTGACCGTTGTATCATGTTATAATGTTATTCTTTCAACAAAACCATCCATGCACTGTTGCCTTGATAATTTCATGACAACAGTGCAGGGATGCTTGAGACATCCTTTAATCTCCCTTGACAACAATTCAGCTGGGTGAGCCTAGCTCCGCCTTCGAGGATGAAGCTCCACCACTGACCTGTAGTTTCCCCTCCTCCTCAGCTCCTTCAGACTAGCCATGACCAATTAGCAAACACCTGGTGGATCTGCACATCAGCTGAGCTCATTACAGGAGCTACTTCGCAGTGAAAAGCTGATGTAAACATTGTTAAATGGTTAATAGAGGAGCCATGTTTTGATGATTTCCTGACGGTGGAGTTTCAGAAAGAGCAGAAGTTTCGACAGAGGCCCAATTTTAAGGCTTTAAATTGTAACGTCACATTTTTTTACAGTCATGCTTGATATACACATCAATTTTATAGCAACTGAAGTTAGGATAGTTACTCAACAGTGCACCATGTGCCTGGAAAATACATAATAAATGCTGTAGTCTTTAAGAAGAGTAAAGACAACAGAATAAATACATGGCACTGCAGTGGCTTCTAAAATATGATTCACATTTGGATATGAAATGCTACACAAACCACACAACTACACTGAGATGGGTGCAGGGCTAACACAGTTAAGAGAACATTTTCTCTGTCTGCAGAACATAACTTGAAACATATCTACATTGAGATACACATGGTGGTATTAGGTAATTTCTTTTCCATCGATTACATTTATAAAATACACTGTAGGTCTTCCATAGCTCTAACCCACACACCAAAGTGTTATGCATTGCATTCTCCTGAGGACTCCGTGTGTGTATAGTAGAAATACCCCAATGTCTTGGTGATGTGATATTTACAATACAAGTCTCTCAGTTAGCTTAGTCTGAGTTCGGACTAGTTCTCCCTTTTGTTGGTAAATCAAATTTTGAAAATTCTGCATTTTCTTATTTTCTCTTTCGTTTTTTTTTTTTTTTTTTTTAAACAACTAACACAGTGTAGGTTAGTGTAGTTGTTTTGAGTTGAATACAAAATGAGATAGATATCGTGTTTTTGCTCTGATGCGTACCTGGGGATGATGCAATTCCTTGTTTTTCTGTTGGATTAAAAGCTACCACTTCTATCAAAGAACCTGCAGCGCATTTAAAAAATATATTTTTGAATAGAAAAAAAATTGAATGGGTGAAAGCAGAATTGGCGGGTCAAAGTTCTAAGAAAGTGTGAATTAGTTATCGGCAATATAGAGCCCGACTGGCACATCTACATTTAGTATTTCATAGCAGCAAAGGAAAAAAGGAAGGAAAGAGAAGTTTGATGTAATAAACAAAATGAAAAGGTCTTCATTCCAGCTAGCTAACCTGCACTGAACACTGACTGGAAAAAGGAAGGTATTCATCACATTGTGCATATGTGTAAGAGAGCCAGCAAGTCAAGTATTATGTATATATTTTAACTTTAGTATTCATGTCTAGTCCTCCTCTTTACCAGAGCTTTGCTCACTTTTCAACAGTTATCGATTCTGGTCGATAACTGTCGATAATGGTCGATAATGCTGAGCACAATTTGCTCTCTAACTGCAAGTGAGCACAAAATGCATCATGTTAAAATGTCACTGTGCCAACATGTAATTTAATTTCAAGAGGCCGACTGACAAATAAAAGATCACTGCTTTTTAAGGTCTGAGTCCATAGATACTGGGTAATAAACTCCAGACTATAACAAAAACTACAGGGATTGAAATGAATAAATGAAAAAAAAAATCTTGGGTTGCCTCTGTTCTAATTTCTCATTTCCGTACTGTTTTTGTAACCTGTTATTAGTATTCCTTAGCTATTTGTACAAAACTTTACAGTTAAAAACAAAAGTTCTATAAAGAAAAAACCCACTGATTGTTGACACCGTCCAGCCAGTAGACAAAGTTGCCTTGAATTGAGCATTCAGAGCTTCACAATGTATCACAGTTAAAAGAACGCAATATTAATATCCCTTAGCACTGCTTGCAATTTAATACGGACCACAATGTTCCAGGCATCAGGAATTTATGTTTTACATGCTAACAATATATCAAACCTATTTAATCTTGCTGCTGTGTGTACCCACATCTGACACAGATAATGATGCCCCCAAAGTGATGAAAGCAAAAATAAAGATGAGAAAGAGGGGAAAATATGAATTAATACAACAGATATGGGCTTTGCAATTATAATAATAAAAAAACTGTCAATTGATGATTTTCTAATATTTTTATCAGGATGTATTATTTCAGGAATATTGAAAATGACTGTAGGCAAATGTCTTTGATTTTATTGAGTAGCCAATATATATAAAAGACACTAATATCAACAACACAAAGTAAATATCTTAAATCTCGAGTTTCAAAGTGAATGTCCATGCTAGCAGTAAGTGCCTCCTCCAGCCTCCTGGGGCCATTAGAGGCTATCGGGTGTGAAAAAGCTGACCAGAGCCAATTAAACTTTAATGAGAACTTTGTCTGAGGAGGTCTTTGCCGATGGTTGTTCTGAAACCAACCCCCCCAATCCAGCGTTTTACTACATACTAAAAAAACAAGAACCCCATCCGTCAAACTGTTATATGGCCGCCCCTTCTCCAAATAAGGTGATTACAGGAGGGGGAAACCGGAAGACTCTCCATGGTAACTCCGTTTCTAACAGGAGGAGCAAAAACAATGGACTACTATAAAGATGATTGACAGCTCGTTGCGGCTAGCGCTCGTTCCAATTCACTGCATCCATTAGCAAGACAGGTCCAGGACTATCGCCACGAGCACAATAATAATAATAATAATAATAATAATAATAATAATAATAATAATAATAATAATAATAATAATAGATATATTCCTCAGCCTATTTTGCGCAGCTAACCCCTCATTAACACTAATATCCCCTTCAAGTCTCATTTTAACTAGATAACTGTAAACAAAGCAGATTCTTGCGTCCTATGCCGTCGTTACGTTTCATGAACTAATTCCTCTGTAAGGAAGCGTGCATCTTTCTCAGTGCTATCTGACCGCGTTACATGGCTGCTATTTAAATTTTTTTTTGTCACACCCACCTCCTACTGAGCAGCAACGGCACGAGCCAAAAACTTGGCATTACAGCCACAGCACAGACAGCGGGGTATTGCAACTGTACCTCAGTTTCTTCTCCTGGTCATCGTTGTCCTCGAAGGCGAAGTGACTCTGCCCCCTGTGAGGGAGCGGATCAGAACTGGAGCCTCAGATGAACGCCGTTATTTTGCATGCAACTTAGCTGCTGCAGAGACTACTCTTTTTTTTCTTTTTTCTTTTTTTACAAGCTCCAGAATCTCCGGTCGGACCTGCCAGCTTTGTGTGTCTCTCCGGTCGAGTGCCACATAGGAAAAACTAAAGTAACCCAACTGCTTGCAAAGTTGCATTCAAAGCAGTCATTATTAATAGTGAATTTAGCAACTGCGACGTTGAGTTGAATGGAAAGCAGGAGCACGCTTTATCCCTCTCATCAACAAAAAGTGCTGGATACTGTCGGTCACGGCGAGTCTGTCTCCGCCCCACCGCCACTTGTGCAGTACTGGAGGAAATTTCAGTAAGAAATGTCCTCCAGTTACTTAAGTAAATCTATTGCGCAGATGTAAATACTTCATGTGCGAAAATTGTATCAAAAATATGTAATTTTTTAAATGACCATTCTAAATTCCACAAAAAATAGTTAATGAGTATCAGTACCCCTTATTTGTTTTTATCTTATTTACCTATAGTCACACTGAATAAATTACAATATTAAAAAGTTTATTTATTTCAGTACTAAATTCACAAGTGACACATAGATTCCTTTCACCGGACGTATGCTTGCAAGCTTTTATTTTCACTAATTATGGTGGTTTTCCGCTTGTAGTTCATGAAAACACGACATAAGATTAAAATATTACATCAGAACAATAAAAGAAAACATTTTTAAGTGAGTTGAATTAAAAGTATATTTACCTGCTTAAAGGTTGTTATTTTCAAAAGGTACTTTTAATTTGACGTCGTATCGGAACACTTATTGTAAGTTACTGGATGTGATAATAATAATAATAATAATAATAATAATAATAATAATAATAATAATAATAATAATAATAATAATAACAGTAACAGTACAGGTTTTTTTCTTACCTCTCCCTATTATACAACTTAATATAAAATAACATGGGAAAAATAAAGAAGCTTATTTAGCATAAAAACAACGAAATTATTGTGGCATGGTAAGCTCATTGTTCCACCCTAATGTTTTTGTTTCTTGTCCATCAACGTATCGTCATTCGTAAATTCTTAATTGTGTATATTGTCTATTAAAAATAGCTTTTGACGTAAACATTGGTTTAATTAAAGTACCTAAGCACGCCTTTCGTTGTTTTCTATAGGCTAACCTGACACTCACAATATGGCAGACGCACTAACGTGTCATTTCTAAAGGTCGACGAAGCCGATGCGTCGGTATTAATCCTTTTCCGTCAACCGGTGTGGGATTTAGATAGAAGGGAGGCGTTTCAAGATTGAATGAATCGCAAAGTTATTGCTCTCAACCACGGACTGCGAGGCAAATCAATTATTAGGTCAATAAATATTGATAATTTAATTGGAAAATATTGGTGGAGGGGAAAAAACCCGACCAAGTTCACATGCTCATTAACACCCTATCTGGAATTAATGGTGTTAAGCATAGTCACTTTGACAAATACCAAGCAATATATTGATGTGAACATCATCCTTTCTATGTAACTATCGGTTACTCAGTTATTGCACGTACATCTTTCTCCGCTTGCTACGGATATTATCAATGCTGTTTAAAATGGAGCGAAAACTCCCTCTTACCACGCAGACGGGTAAATGGTGCGGAGCCACGAATTACATCCAACCCCTGAGCCCCGTTTGACATGCGTTCGTTTTGTTCATTTTGTAAAGCTCAGAAAGGCGGGGTCAATGGCGAATCAGACAAACGTTGGTGTAGCGAAGCCCGACTCAATCGACAGAACAAATCGAGGCAACTCTTTGGAAGCGCTTCCTTTTAGTTGTCAACAAGGAATGTGAATGGATACTGAATAGTAGCTCTTAGCAGTAAATGCTGTTCAAGCCGATTGGGAAACACTGCTGAACAAATAACCGCGTCTGTTCTGTAGTGTCACGTTGGTCAGGTAGGCAGCTGAACTTCACTTGCTGTGTTCTCGCTGTACCTGGTTAGTAGGCTAATGTTAGCTAGTTATTAACTAAGTTATGTTGAAAGTAGCCTTTATTATCGATTATTGTCGCAATTATGCTTGTTCATGTTGAAGAGCAACTCAGGCAAATGCATACCAATAGTCTGTGTCAATGCCATTCGCTAACCCAGTTGGACTTCCTTATATATTGTGGACAATAAAGTGGAATATACAGTCAAGGTCTCAGCCTTTATCCTTTTAGCTTGTTAGGTGCAACGCTTTGCTAAAAGTATTCATACCGCTTAAACTTCCTGGAATTTGGCTATGGCAAACCTCAATGTGTTTTATTTGTCCAATTTGGCAAAAAGTGTAGCTCCTTGTTGTTTAAAAGGCCTTCAGTGAAAGGTTGTTTTCCAAAACATATTATTTTTATTTTCATGTCAAATTAATTTAATATGTGTTGATCTTGGTGACCTATTTAATAAAATTACAGCAAAATCCATTGATGTGTTGGTGTGGTTGTACTGTTTCAAAATGTGGGAAAGTTCAAACCATAAGAATACTTTTGCTTTCAACAGCTGGAGAAGCACGTATGGCATGCACCAAACAAAAGTTTTGTCATGTGTGACTGTACTTTTTATTTGCACCATAAAAATGCCTTTATCTTTACTCAGAATGTCAGTGGTGGATATTAGTGCACTTTGAAATAGTCGTATATTACATCCTTTCAACACTAAACTGTTGATCTGATTCTCTCTTTTTGCCTCAGACATACCTTTTAAATAAAGACAGATGTGGATTGAGTGATACTCCTGTCACCAGGTCTCAGAATATCCATGTGTATAATCTTCTTAAAGTTTGATCCTCGGCCTGCGTCCAAAAATGCCTACAGGTAAGGCAAAATCATCCATGCTTTGATGTGAAAACCTCCTAAACAAACTTAAGGAAATAAGTGCTTTAAACTGATTTTTAGTTCGAAGACCAGGACATTCTAAGCTGTCTTTAGTAGTTAATCTAGAGATTTTAGGGGTCTGCAACCTTTACAATCTAAAGAGCCATTTTTGCCCCTCTCCAGCTCAGTAAAACTCATTTAGAGCCACAAACGCTACCAGACATGTTGAGAAACGGCATGCATTTTGACTAGTAATCTAGAAGTTTTGACATATTTAATTTCATTTCATTTCATTTCCATTTTTAGGTTTTTCAACTAAAGAAAAACTTCAGCAAAAAAAGAGAATTGATGCATTTTCTTCTGGAGCGTTGATCTTTGTGGAAAATTTTCTTTAAAAATGCCACTGACAAGAAAAGTTGGTCCAAAAAATGTTTGCTAGTACTTTTAGCGTGATTTTGTTGTAGAAATTCAATGTAATTATGCCGCAAAAAAAGAAAATAACAAAGCTTTAAGCTGCTAAAATATGTATTTGTCTGTATTTATCCATATTTTACAAACATAAGTTTGTTCTTTACTTTTTTTGGTGAGAGTCATTAAGAGCCAAATGTGGAAGATCCTGCCTTGATATTTTTCACATGAGCATTTACAGAGATTATAATGACCGATCAAGTTCAGAATGTGCCCTTTCATTTCTAATGAAAGCTTTTCTACATTAACTATGAATAAGCACAAAGTAAGCCAGCTGAAGTTTTATGTTGTAATGCTCTGGGGTGCAGTTCTTGATGTATAACAGCCGGCCAGTTTTAGAAGATAAATAATAGAGCGTTTTGTTTATATCTGTTATTATGGAATAAGATCCGTTTGAGTTTTACACAAACATTGTGGCGTAAAGTCTAACTGGGTCGCATTTTTCACATGACCATTTACAGACATTAACTTTAAAATGTCCTCCATGATTTTTCTGCGTATTGGATCTGATTCGTCCTGCTGTGAAGAGTTTCGTAAACACTGGCTGAATCGCCAGAATTACAGCTGAGGGAAGAATGTCACAACACAGGTCATGCATCAGACGTCTTATGAAATGGAGATTTTGCATAAAATGTGTCATTATCACTTTTATAGTCGCAGCATGGATACATCAGAGTGGAGAACAGAAACTGACATATTTTGATAATTGTGACACAGATAAATTGGGATGCTGCTCGAACCCTTGGTAAATGGGCCGCTTGCGGGAACAACTCCAGAACAGGAAAGAAGAAAACAACAGTTGAAGATCAGCTGGGATACGCTTCGGCCGGCTTGCTCTTGTTTAGAAATGAGAGGCCCTGACGGCGTAAGAAGATCGAATGTGTTAGTTTCAAGTATTCCTGCCTCATAACCAGTCAAACGCAGTCGATGGAGCACTGCTGCTTGAACAGGACAAAAATGAGTGACGGTAAATAAGAGGCTCTTACAACATGTGTCTCATATGGCCTCAGAATTGCAACTTGTCGGAGGGTGCCGCTGCTTTTCCAGAAATAATGAGAAAGGATGTTCCTGTCAGTAGTAGCAGAGGTTGAGGGGGGGAGACACAAACAACAGAGTTGGGGACAACAGGTATTGTCACAGACAACAACCAGAAGGTTCCAGAGTGAGAACCAGCAAAATCACTAAAGGCAGACAAAACAAAAACAAGTGACAAGGTACTTTTTTTTTCGGCTTTTTGAGCTGTATCTACTTGCTTTACTCCATTACCTGATGTGTTTTGAAGCCTCTTATCCCCCTGACATTCAGTATAAAAATAAAAACACTGTGGTACTCTCCAGACAGTGGAACATTGGTACTTATAATACTGTAATCCTAACACTAAATTGTATGGGCATCTGAATTCGATACTAATATCGGAAATTTGCTTGACATCTGCCAAAAAAAACCTCATATCTGATAAGATCGGCCTGCATGTAAAGCCGCTGTCGATAGAAGAACTGGACTCCAGCATTTAGTCCACCCCAATAGAAATTGAATCTGCACACAGACCCACTGGTTAATAATACATAGGTCAGCTATTCTCATGCCTACTGTTATTGGCTATTTTTCTCTGACTAACATCACTTGATCAAGCCTTTCCTAATACTCCACTCTGCAAAATAAGTACCGGTAATACAAGAATGTTTAATTTTTGCCATTATCATATTGGGTCGATACTGGTATCGGCCAATGCTCAAAGCTGCAACATTGACATCGTTGATGGTGTTGCTGACAGATCTCTGAAGTGAGATCAGATATTTATTATCTGATACGAAATCTCAGATATTAATATCTTATTGTAAGTGAAGGTGCATTCCTGGTTTTCACTTCAGAGATTAGATAATCACTTCACAATAATTGTTAAAATGTAATCCCGACTTCCCCAGCAGTAGCCTTGTTTTACAGTCAGTTTTTAATCAATTCACCGTTTCATTTTTTTATTTCCTGCGGTCTCCATGTCCTTTATCCGGCAGTAAATGGTAACTCCTTTCAGCTGGAAGTAGAGGCTGGCGCGCTACAAGCAGTCAGTGTGGGCTATGGCGCAATACGGAGGTGTACGTCATTATATTCCCCCAGAGGTTGAGGGCAAACTCTCTGCCTGGCCGTAGTCCTGCTCTGCCCTTCTCCAGCCCTGACCTTGCCTAAGGAGAGGACAACAGAGGTGTGTTATGAGTACTAAGTGGGACCTGGGGAGAGTTGAAATGTATTGTGTGCTGCTATATTTATCTGAAGTCTATTATGTAAAGTTGAAACCAGAAGTTTACATACACAGAATGAAATGACACGTTTCTCTCACTGTCGGAAGTTAAATCAGACCAAACTTTTCCTGTTTTGTGTCAGTTAGACTCATAAAAATTATTTGCTTAATACCACAATAATAAAAGAATATATCAGAAAAGATTACATGCATTTTCTATGTGGGAACATGAAACTGTATGACTTGTGGTCAAATGTTTTGGGTTTCCTTCCACCAGCTTCTCACAGTAGGTCGTTGCTGCCTCTCTGCTGCTCTGCAAGTAACACGCAGTGTGTGTTTGTGTTTTTCTGTTAGCCAACCGCATCAGTAAATATGGCAGAAAAAGGAAGAAATGACACCTGATCATTTTTCAGTGCAGCAAAAAGGCCAAGTAAGTAAGAAACGCTGCACTTTGAAAGGGAAGTTAATAATACCATTTTCTGAAAAAAATAAATAAATAAAAAACTAATGGCTGAAGTTTTTATGAAATTGTTTCGTCATGGTGTTGTTAGGCAAAGCAACAGACAACAGAGCGGGACGTAGAGCGAGCGAGAGAGAGAGAGAGAGAGAGAGAGAGAGAGAGGGAGGGACAGTCAGTCAGGGTCAAAGAGTCACAGGTAAGTGCAAGTTTACGCTGGCGAAGGTCCTCAGTCATCCAGGACAGGGCAAAAACAAAAAAACAGCTGGACTTGAGTTTATGTAATTACTTTGCTATATTTTTAAACAGTTTTTTTTTCTTTTAAAACTTTGGTTTTGTGCAAGTTAGCTGAACTTGAGTTATTGTTGAGAAGAATCCTCTTTCACTTAAACATGTATTCAGGGTTATTTGATCAACTTGAGGCAGAGAAAAGTATTTTTCTGGTCTTTGTGCTGTAGTTAATACAGTTACTGTACGTGCCATTTACTTTCATTTTACGTATGCAAATTATAATTTAAATAACGCAAATTGCACAGAGAGACGCCACAATAAATTGGTGTTAATGGGGAATTAATGAGGCGGGGTTACACTCTGAAGTATTTCTTCTGCTTGAACTTGAGATGAAATATTTGTAAAGATGTTGTAGCAGAGATTAGATCAGTGATATTGACCAAAGGCATCTACAAACACAAGGCAAACTCAAATTTAAATAACATTTAGATTTGAGTTTGGCTTCTCTGGGTCTCATCAGCTCTTTTATTGAGGACATCACCCATATTTGATGTGCAACTTGTCATTTTTGGTCCTGCAGACAGAAACCATGAAAGATCTTCCTTATAAGAGATATGAGACTAATAGGGGACATTATTGTAATAATTAATATTAGTACTCCATACATTTTAGGCAGCAATTTCAGCCAATTATTCAGTAAACTCCAAGCAGCACTGATAAGGTTCTATTTGTACATTTTCCAGCTTTATGTTTGCAGAACCCGCCTTTTGATTTGGTGTGTGTAAACTTCTGGTTTCAGCAGTTTTAAAAACAAATTTTCAACTTCATCTGGTGTAATTATTAAATTCACAAAACAAAATGACTGAAATGTTTCTGCGGGAGTTAGATGGCTTCTTAATCAGCTTAGATGACTCAGTGATTACCCATATGCTGTTATTTCTCTATCTTGACGTATAATTTATGGTTTATATTGTTGTTCTCCTCTTTTTGCGAGTTTTCGTAGCAAAACTTACTCCCTAGGCAGCTGAAGGGCATTGTAATGTGATTATGGTTTATATGTAGACACAGTAGAGTCGTATTTACAATAATGATGTAATTATGGTGTGTCCTCGTTCGGCTTGCTTGTTGGTTTCAGGTACAAATATTGCAATTAGTTCTAAAAACTGGAAAACTACATATCAGACACTTATTTATTCAGCAAAGACTAGGCCAAAAAGCAGGGTAATTTATTTATGTAGTTTATTTCCCCTCTGCTGTGACTGGAAGCCTGTAGCTCTCCTTGTAGTTTGTTCTTTTTTCTTCCACATTCCTTTGTACCGCTTTTTTTAGTTTATTTTATCACAATAACTTTTTGTTCTTGATGCTTGAACCTTTACCATCATTTGGTGGCGACCAACCGAACTTATGAGACATTCTGTAGTCTCATAAGTTCTGTAGTCTCATTCTGTAGTTAGCAAAATTTTGATCCCCCCCGTTTGTTGACTTGTGTCATTGAATAAACAAAAAATCAAAACGAGTGAAGCGCCAATCAGTCGGCCAGAGATTGGCATTGACCCCTTTGATTTGCTGTGGTTAGTGATTCGTTGGCCAAATATTAGGGCCGTGACTTATGATTATTTTAGTAATTGAATATTCTCACGATTAATTGATTGATCAAATAAAAAATGCTAATTCTGCATAATTTTCTTTTAACTACTTTAGCCTTTTTTCGTACAATGCTTCAAATGCATTCAAAGATGCAAATGAGCAAATTATTTAATTACTTAAAAAAAAAAAAACAAATGAAAATTTTATTGCCTAAAATGAAATAACATAGCATTAGTCTACTATCTATTTATGTCCCAAAGGGCAGTTAATTTTACAACAACACACCAGCAATTAATATTTAACTAGCGGGTCTGGGGATAAATTCCACAACTTCAACCAGTGGAGGTTAAAATCACAAAACCTGTCAATCATAAAAAGTGCCAGTAATACCACAAAGGTGATCAATAAATAAACCAATAAATAGATAATACTTATTTGTATTCCTCATTGCTCTTCTAGTTGGACAGAGTAAGGCAGAATTCCTCAGCAGTTTTTCCAGAAACATATAAATTGTTGCTTGAAACAATTAGCATAGTGTTTAGTTTTAAATGGCAGTGGTATGAGCTTGATTCATAAATGGTAATGTTTTTCCCACCATATGTCTGGAGGTCTGTTGTTGGGGTTCTGTTTTTTATCTTTCTACTCAGACCTTCAATAGTCTTGCTCATGTGAACACACAAACTACACAAAATTTGTTTTGCTGTACAATCACCAACATCGTTTTTTTTTTTTTCTTCATGATCTAATTTTTTGTAAACATCTTTTGTTCCCGGAGGACGGCTCCAACTTTACTAAACCTTCACCCTAATAGGTTTAGTAAACCACCCTTTCAGATTTGCACAAAAGATCACCGAGGTGACCCTCTGAATTTTCTATCCATTCACTAAGATTTGCCATTAAACATTGAAATAATGTTTTTCCACGTTGCAAAAAAACAAACAAACAACCAAACATTCAGGGTTATCTGTAAACACAAACACATTCTAGAGTTTATTTCATAGGATTCACACGTGAACCAGATGAATCATTAGGGCAGACAGAAATTGTGAGGAACATTTCACATGAGTTCACTGCCTCTGTTTGCTGAACAAAAAAGAAATAAATGTCAGCTGAGTTCTGGTTTTGCTTTGATCCTTCTCCGCTTCCCAGCATGCCTTCAACACGATACAGCCGGCTGCCTGACACTGGAGATCGAGACACTTGCATGGGATCTCCCCCTTAGGATCCAGCAGCAGATGCTGGGCCCGGTGTAGCATCATTAGTGTTTGCTTTGTTTCCAGTTAACACTGGTGACTCGCATAGTGCGGGTTGCAGGAGGCTGTCATTAGCCTTTGAAACACCCCAAGAGGACAGTTTAGTCTTGTGTTTTGGTGGCCATCTTGAAAGAATAATTGGTGGACCACGGCCAAGCTTGGGGGAAACATACTGATGGCGTTTAAATCAATACATTTTATTGTTAGTTTAAGTCCGTGTGCTTTGCAGAATTGTGATATTATGTTAATAAGATCCTATAAAATGCACTTTTGTACACAAATAAATGATGACAGACATATAGCTTAAAGGTAAAATGTTCATTTCTGTAGAAGAAAATCACAGCAGATAGCACAGTTGTAATTAGTATAATTAGTTTTCAGCAACACCAGTGGTTCATGTATCACGTTAGTGTGTACAAGTGTATAAAAACTTTAATGATAGCCATTTTTAAACAGCAGTCAGGAGTTGGAGTTTTGCTATTTTACGATTAATAAAATGTTTAAGAGCTGCAAAAAATAAACGGCAAGATATCGTAAATTCTGAAGCAGAAGTGGCCAAATCTGCTGCCATAATATTTAAAATATTGCAAAAGCTTCAGTGATAAACTGTTTATTTGTCGCTTTGTTATGCTGAGCATGTTGTTGTATTGAATTTACAAAGCAGAGAGATGCTTTGTTATTGGCTTGTGCTGCTACTGGTACTTAGCCTGGCTGTTGAGCATGACAAGTAACAAAGCCGACAGATGCTCTAACGTTGTTTCAGTTTACTAGTAGAGCTTAGCAGATTCATATTTATAATGTTATGATAGTTCATAGGCTGTAGCAGCATCAGATAAAAAGTTAAAGACATAAACATAATGGCAACGTTTCTCTCTGAGAAACTGAGTAACCCAGGTCAAAGTTCAGTTCTGGGATTAACCTACAGACACACCCCGTCAGTCCCATTTGAGGTTATAATTGTGTTGCAGTCATGATGTGTCAATAAAACCCAATTGACACAGCAGAATAGGGAAAGCATCAGGATTGGTTATTTACACAAGTGGAACTTTAAGTAATGTGTCTGGTTATTTTTGTTTTCATCACTTTCACTCCCTTATTTTCGTGTTTCTCTATTTCAGTAGCTCTCTTTGTGTGCTGAGTCTTTGAATTTTGGAGAGTACATCTATGTGCATATAAAACTCTGACTTTCGTATTTAAATGGTAAAATTTTTAATTAATATTATGACCACTTCTCCAAAAATCATTCTGGCTTTGTTTTAAACCTTGCCAAAGAATAAAGTAGGAAATTTTGAGTTTGGTTAAATTTTTTAGTTGTCTTAACGATGATAAATATTGCTGTTGGAAATCTTACTTATCTTTCCTTAAATGGTGTTGCATTCAAGCTTGAGAAATCTTCTCTTCCTGCGTGATGGTGTGGAGTGGAATCTAGCTCAATGGGAAAATGAGGCTTATTGTCTTTACGAGTTGAAAATGTGTCAAGGTCATATTCTGCAACCAGCAGCAATCCCATTTTTCCACTCTTAAGCCCTTTCTCCACAGGCTGACTGGGTTCTTTTCCAGTCAGTCCCGACCAGATTTGTCTCCAATTGCAGATCATGTGGTGTTCTTCCCTGTTTTTTGGAACCTGAGGGGTGGTGCAATCCAGACCTAGCCAGGTGTCGCTCTCAAGCGATTTGGTTTACAGCAGACTGCTTTCATCGGTGTAAACTCCTGGAACGACAACATCGCCACCAGCATTTTCAATCCCACAACAATACCATAGTAGGTGGCGAGATGGCAAGCTTCAAATCGATAATTCTGTGGTTTGAGGTCCAAATTGTTTTATCAATCATGGCAGGAGAGCATATGCAGCATCAACTGGATGGGTCACCAGACAGTCAAAAATGGGGCAGGATGTACCAAGCTCTAGTTCTAGTTCTTCCACGCAGTACTGACCTCCTTGTTGAAGGGAATAAATTGTTTCCCTGCTAATGTGTCTTGTGTCTTTGAACATTAATCATTCAATCCAATAAGAGACACCAAACACAAGTGAGTGGCAGAATAAGATGTTTGGCTTTGGCAGAGAGGATTTGGGCACAACAGATCCTCAATGCATAAAAGTGGCATCCCTACAAATGTGGCACCATTTTCACTCTTGTGTGGTCTCAAGAGTCGGGGTGATTTGGATCCCATAAGTTTTTTTACCCTCTGCACGGTCCAGCGAGGTCGCACTGACAACGTGTAAGTTTTCACAAGTTTCGGGAACTAATGGTCTGACATCTGCCACGCTCCTCCTGAGCACCGCACTAAGTACGCGGGAGGTTTAAGGGAAATCAATCAGTTTTTCAATGAAATAAGAAACATTAATTACTCTTTTTGCACAGTTGAAAACTTTCAGTGTGAAAATGAATTCTGTGATTTATTTCAGTGCCTTTACAAACCAGTTGGAAAAACTCACCTGTCACCCGAAGGCTCAGTGGCTTTGTGTTGTTTGACCAAATCTAAAAAAAGAACTTCTCTGGCCTCTCTGTCAATCTCCTCAGGCTAATTTTGGCTGCAAATAGAGATGAGTTTTACAACAGACCGTCCAAAGCTGCCGACTTCTGGGGCACCAACGGTGAAATCCTCAGTGGTAAGTTGACTTTTTAGAGATATATCACTGCCTGACTGCCTTTTACATTCTTTGCTAACTGGCTTTTCAGTAATCAAGGTGGAATTACTTCTTCACTTCCCAAGTTAGACTTTCTTCTAATCCGCCACAGAACAACTCGACCCACAGTCAGCTGAACTACCATATCCAATTTTACAGGTGCCCGGTGCACATTTTAGCCAAACAGAGGAAATCAATCATTTGCTGTTTTTTTTATTTTCTCGCTATTTTCTTCCCGCGTAAGAAGGAAACACAGACATAACCTCGTTGTTCATCAATCTCCTCTCACCACTTTAATAGAGGGGTCAGGACTCCACCAGCGGGTCCGTAATTGATGGCTGTTTTTATGCGATGTGACAGGAATAAATGGCCCTGCCTTATATCTGTAAGGCTGGCGCGAGGGGAGGAGGGGGACGGCGCGGGGGGCAGCAGCAAGACCCTGAAGGAGACAGACCATGAAGGGAAGTAAGCAATAGCTCCCCGAGGGATCTGTGCAGCTATCTACCCCCCCCACAGAGGAATCGGAGCATTTAGCTCTCGGTGGAGAGGACCTGTCCTAATTGATCACCGGGAAGCGCTGCTGACGTACTCACCTTTTAATAGGACAATGTGAGTGAGAGGAATCCAGAAAGAAAGCAGCTAATTAATGGATGGGCCGACTCTGTTTCATTTAACGCGACGCAACACGTTGAATTTTTCCGTCCTATGTAAAAAAAAATTAATTATGTCAATAATAATTTTTGATATTTAATGGTCCGTATTATACATACAAACACACAGTATATAAGACATAATTAAAATACTTTTGAAAATGTTATGTTATGCTGGATAATCTGTACTTCAGTACAACATTATTTATTAGTTCAGTAAAATAAAACAGAAAATTTATGGTATTGATTTTAATAAAAGGTATTTGTCAAAGTTTATAACAGTTCACAGAGTCTATTTATATTTATATTTACTTTTTTCTGTCTAGCTCTCAGTGAAGGCAGACACTTTTTTCCTCTGCTCCTCTCCCTACCCATTCTCACCCTGCTTGCTCTGTTTCTGTGTTGCTTTTCTTGGAGCCTTTGTAGATTTGGAGCACATCCTCCAAATCTACAAATTTTGGATCTGGTCAACCCGTCTCTCAAGGCAATAGATCAAATTTTCTGAACAAGAAGACAAGAAGACTAGGGACAGGAGAGCCCTCCTGTCCTGCGGGGACTCACCCGACGGGATGGATTCACCCTGGATTTATTTGGATTCATGATAACAGGATTTCTGCTGTTTGGAGTTTGTGGATACCTGGCTTATCGAAAAATTTGTGACGGATTTGGCCACTCTCATGAACACTCAAACTGTGATTTGGGTCTTGCTGAGACTCGCAGCCCAGCTGAGGACTCAAAACCCACTAACAGGGTGGATTCGATCTTGGAGAAGAGGCTAGCTTTGGTTCAGTGGAATGGCCAAACTAATTTGGATGATTGGGATGAACTATAAGAGACAAACCGGTTAAAGACTCTGGGACAGACAGAAATTTGAAGTCTGCCCGATCTAAAGAGAATCTGTTATTCTGAATCTGGCTCCTTGTGGCCTTCTGGCTATCTCAAATCTCCTGGAGTTTATGTAGACAAACTGTTCCTTTCCATCTCCTCACCCTCCCGAAGTCACCCTGGGAATCTTATGGCTGAACTCTCAAGGACTCGCTCTTGATTATTCCACCTTTATCAGAGACTTTATTTGGGAGAACAGGCTGTGAGAGACATGGACTGATCTGCAAACACCTCATAGTTACAGACAAACACACACTCCTGATCTCAACGCCTTTCCCAGCATGTCATTGTTTTTGTCTTGCCATATGTGGCATATCCTATCCAATGTAGTCTTTTCACCCTACTTATCAGTTAGTTTTTAGATTATTACTTGTTAGAAACTGTGGAGTACTCACTTTTAACCCAGAAAAGGAATTAGAACAAACTTGGAATCCAGAGACTCTAGTTTATTAGTCACTCTTTAGCTTATTTTTTTTTTAGAAACTGTAGCGTTCTCACTATCTAGATGAATATTACACTTCTTACATTGTTTTGGTCTATCACATAAAGTACAAATATAATACATTGAAATTTGAGGTCATGACATCCCAGAATGCAAAATAATTTGAGGAATGCCTTTCTGGATCAGTACAGATCAGTCTCTCCAGTTTTTCGTAATTTTGCAGAAATTTACGTAAAATCAACAGATCCCTGCATTTTTTTCCGCACAATTGTGAGATTATTGCAAATTTTCTGCAAAAATGATCAAAAACATTCGGCTTAAGTGACTGCTAACTCCCACCTGCAGGTGGCAGTATTTCTTCCTTCTACTATACTGCTGCCTAACTTCATGTCAAGTTATCATCCACGATCGAAATGGCAAGTCGCAAAAATTGAGCTGTTTAGTTGTTACTTTGTTTCTCATTTTCTTTCTTCTACATTTCGGGATGGGTTGAAAATATCGCCAAACTCCTTGCAAATATTTCTAAAACTGCAGCACAAAATCGATGATTTTGATTGCAAAAAAATCACACAAAATGTTTTTTTTGTTTTGTTTTGTCTTTTTAATTCTGGAGGGACTGATAGATTAAGCATTGCACCAATTTCTCTTTACCAGGTTTGGACCTAGAGTATGGCAAGGAAGGTGGATCATGGCTGGGAATCAGCAAGAGGGGCAACCTGGCCGCCATCACAAACTACATGGAAGGACATCCTAACCCTAACGCACAAGGAAGAGGTGAGCCTGCCACGTTCGGGTCACCACATCTGATCACATCTGGACCGCCACCTGTCCCACATGCCAGCGATGTTCACCGTTTCCCCGTTTTCCGATCTACAGGGTTCCTTGTATCGAACTACCTGATGGATAAGGATGTAGACAGCTACTCCTACCTGAAGAAGGTGTCTGCAGACGGTCACATGTACAACGGCTTCAATCTCATCACAGCTGAGTTCAAGTGAGTGAAAGGTGTTCTGACTTATGCCTTTGTTTTATTTGCCCTCCACCACTATGTGTTAGGAGGCCTCTCGTGATAAACTTTGCTGGACGATAAGTTATTGCGATTACATGATGATATTGATGTTTTGAGACCATTTTCAAGTAATATAATGGAAATGGCATAATAATGTAAGACCACATTCTGAAAGATCAATAAACCTTTAATTCTAACTTATCACTGGAACTGGAAGACATTTTGAATATCCAAAATAAATCAAACAAAACAACAGAAACGACAAATAAAATAATTAAAAAGTCTCTGTGAACAAAATTGTCCTTCAAAAAAAGGGCTAGTTGAAACCAAAACACCAGACTGAAGACTTTTGCCAATCAGTTTTTAGTAGAAAGAAAAAGAAAAGAGAAGAACAATAAATCATTCAAATAGAAATTATTGAGTTTGTTTTAATTTATCACGCAATTAATTGGTTTATTACTTATTGCGACAGGCCCATGTGTAAGCATGTTTAAAATTGGAAAATAGAACAGTTATCGTCTTCTACGCAATTGTATGCATCTTCTATATTCATGAAGAACAAGAACTCTTTAAATGCATTGTTACATTGTAATATCTAACTAAACAATCAGCTTTTTATTCTTAGGCCGTGTTTTGTTGGCACATCTAATAGTAGCTGTAAAAACTGCTTCTCGATATGAGCAATTTTAAGCACAAAGAAAAAGGAAGTGATGCTGAACTGCACTGAAAATATAGGGCTGTCTTATTTTGTCTTCACCAGCCTGAAGTTACTGAATCCCAGTGACCTTCTTAGGAAAGAGAATTCAAAATGGGTTCAGTGGAGGCTAAGATGCTAGCAAAGCAGGAAGTCCCTGAAGGCAGCTGACATGGAAACCTGCATCGCTGCCTGCCAGGGAGAGGTTGGAAGTTGGGTTCAAACACACCCAAATGAATTCCTGCAGGGGAAGAAAGGTGTGAGGGGTGGTATTTTTGGTGTCAGGAGGTGTGTATCCTGCTAACATGGCCTCTAGCTGGATCTTGAACCAGTGTCGTTTTCTTTTATTTATTTATTTTTTTAGCTTGTGCTTCCCTTTCATTGCTTTGTTTTATCAACATTTCTGCGATTCCACCAGGCGGGATCGTCACCTACTGTAACTCGTCTCTTTACTGAAGCAAAAGCTCCGACGCAACAAAAAGCGTCCGATTGTTTCACATTTCCTATATTTTTTTTTACATATTTGCACGAATAGGAGCTAAGTTAAGAACACATTTCTCTTTTTGTTTAAAACATGAAAAAAGAAAACAATACCAAAAACTGCTTTCACTGCGGACAGAGAGGAAACACAGAGAAAGAAAGCCTTCATCTTCTAAATAAACACCGGCATTAGCAATTCATTTCCTCTCGGCTGCAGTGTGTCCCGCAGCGCTGAAGAAATAGGCTGCTTCTTCCCCAATCAATAACACATCGGGTGGATGGAGACGGCCACTGCTTTATATTGTAATTAGAGGATTTCTCACTCATTTGTCAGGAGCAGCTTTACTCCACATGAAGCTGAGGATTAGGTCAAGGTGTTGCCTTCTTTTGTAATGGATTATTTGTCTTTACTGATTTGTTTTGGCATTGCGATCTACTTATTAATGTTTTGAATAATAATTTCTAACATATAACTGGTTGATTTTGTGATTCATTTTAGCAGTGGGTACCTTACAGTGGGTTTTAAACCCCACAATATAGAGGCTGAAATATACAAGCTTGTCCTTACAGTACTGTATGTCCCATATATTTTTTAAATATAATTTTAGCACCTTTTGCTCCATCTGTATGCCTCAATGTTGCTGTTGCACCTGAATTTCCCCCACAGCGAAACAATAAAGGATTATTCTATTCTATGTTCACCTACTGAGAAATGTACCTGCTTCCAGCTTGAGTGCAGCTGAGTCAGAATCATAACTTCAGAAATTAGCCAAACCTTTTTGCCTAAAAGCATGAGTTGTGATGCTTGGCAGGACTTTGCTTGAGCTTAGAAAGAAACATTGAGACGCTGCCAATAACACACATTACAAAGTAGCAGGGTTAGATAAACTCTAGTGGTTTTAAAGGAACATCTACTATGATTATTTTTAAAATAATACATTAGTGGTTCTCAATTTTTTTTAGAGAAACAAAGAAAGCTTTGCTTTGTCCAGAATAAAAGTAATCTTGGATCACAGAATATTTTTTACATCCTCTGAGTGACTTCAAATAAAAAGGAAATTAGTGGTGGAGGAAAAAAAAAAGCACGACGAATATGAAGAAGAGAACATTTAGAAAATCAAACAGAAAATCTTAAAAGCTTATACTGAGGTCATTATTGGATGAAGAGAAATCAAAGTGGGCCTTTAATCTTCCTGTTTATCTTTCTGCAAAAGGGATTTTTTTTTTATCCAATCATTATGTTTCTTTAGATATTCTTATTCATAAGCTACCACAGAACAGAACCAGAGGGAAAATGTGATTGGTTCATTTAATTGCTTTTGCCGTGGGCAACCGCTGCATTTCATACAGATTTATAGTACGTCAACAGATTCCAGAAATTACAGATTAAAAAACTTTCTAAACATAATTCTGAAAAGCCTGGCTGAATTACAGCAGTAGATGAAGTTAATGTGAAGCCATAGTGGTTTGCAAACAGATAAATAAAAGGATGAAGATAATTTTTTGTTTTCATTTTTTAAAATGAAAACCTCAAAAGTGTGGCATGCATTTGTTTTCACCCCCCTCCACTTAATACTTGGCCAAAAATGTTTATTTACTTATTTATTTTTTTTACCACAATTACAGCAGCAAGTCTTTCACACAGACTGGTATATTTACCGATTTGTCTTTGTAAAAGAAAGTCAGATTGAGCGGAGAACGTCTTTGGACATAATTTTTCAAGCCTAGACTCTCAACTAGATTTTGGTCTGGACTTTGATCGTCCAGAAGATTACTCTTTGATGGATATGTTCCCCCTATCCGTGGCTTTTACTGTGCATCCATATTTATGGGTGCACTTAAAATTCTGGGCGATGAGTTTTCAGAGTGCTTGTTGTTGTTGCCTAAAAGCCTGACCCGCCATCGCCTATGCTGGAAGCTCATCCAGGCATTTCCAGGCAACTGCACCACAGCTGGCGATGGGGAAGTTGCTCTACAGCGCCAACATAGAGGGCTCTTCATTTGAACCGCTCCCAGCCAGCATACTGATTACCTCTCTGCCTGAGATCTTAAAAAAAAGCTTCTTCTTTTTTTTTCTTTTTTAAAGAAAAAAACCCTCTTTCCTCTTTGCCGTCTCTCTTTTTATGCCCAGTGGCTCTGATCTCCTGCTGTTCCCTCATCTCTGCCCAAATCAACCCACAGCCCTGCTGATGGGAACCTCAATATTCCAGCTACTTTCATAAAGCAGAAATGGCCACTCTCTCTCTTCTTCTCTGTCTCTCTCTTTCTCCACAAAATCCTCCACCTGCTTCCTCCATGGTCAATTTGATCCACATCACCGACATGAGGGTCTTTAGTTCAGGCCACAATACCAAGAACAAAACTAATATTTCATGCTCTGTTCTTGATTACTGTGCCTTACTAATTATTTTATTTCCCTAAAGATTACACTACCATCTGCTTTCTTTCTTTTTTTTTTTTAATTGAATGGCTAGCATCAGAGCTTGGTAGGAGCAGTGTCTGTTATCACTCCTGTCAACACCGTCTACTGCCGCTGTGCTGACTGTCACCATAGGGACGCAGACAGTGTTGTTGTTTATTTATGATGTTTAGCTGGCTCTGGGTACAAGAAACAATATTAAGGACGTGGAATTGCTGTTGTCGGAAGGATTTCGTAATGTCAGCTGGCAGCTTAGAGGATTGCTCTGTATGTCTGGTGTTTCCTTCTTTAACACATATTTCCCTGCCTCTAGAACATGCTCTGCTCAAAAGTGTTAGATTTGTTTTTGTCAGACTACCCTTGTGTTTTTTTTTATCCTCAGTGTAGTGTGGTTTTGCTGATATTAAAGCGTATGTCTGGGTCGGGTTTTTTTTTTTTTTTTTTTTTTTTTTTTTTGCTCCCTTCTCAGTTTCGCACTTTTTAACAGTTTTGGTCTTGTTTGTGCTCAGAGTTTTTGTGGTACAAAAAGGGAACTGTCTGCACCAGGACTTGTCTTACCTGGCATGTGTCAGTCTGTACCCTCCTTAAGCACGTTTGGATATTTGTTAATGATTTAGAGTATTCCATTAGAGTCTTATCTGACAATATTTAATGTAATTTATTGCTAATTTTCCATAGACACGTCATGTGTGAGATCGCGCCACCCAGCTCCCTGCTGGATGGCAAGAAACTGCTTGCTAACGATGACTACCATTGATTTTAGCTGTCAAGTTGTCAACATAACGCTCTAAATCTTAAATGTGTGCCTAATATATATTTAAGAAAAACAGACACAGTGCTTTGCTACTAATTGTTAATACTACGGCATCTAGACAATTCACAGGCGAGAACTAGTGGGGCTCTCGTCAGTCCATAGATACAGCAACAGGTCTATGCGTAACATAGCCGACATAGTATGAGAAAATTGAAGATGTTCTTCACTGGGTTTTTTGTTGCATTATTTTCCCTTTGCTGCGGCGCACTGCTCTAAATTAATAAAAGCTGGAATTGCCTGCTTTGTATCAGGGAGCTTGGCGCTGATTATGAAGGTCTCAGTTTTTTCTCACATAATCAGCCTGTGTTTTGCTTGCATTACTGGAATTTAGCAGCATTTAACCGCTAACAGCTAAACACTGCCACCTGCTGTAAAATCTTCTCTACTTCATTTGGCTCATACACAAAGAAAAAACCAAGTATTGCTACTAATTGTCACGGATACAAATACCGCACCTAAGAGTTTTTAAAACTACTAAGTGCTGAATATGATTTACGTTTCATGGTTTCGATATTTGTAGGTTTCATGACTCTAAAACATGACGCTGTCCATTTTACGGCCACAAACCCGGCAAGAGTATCCAGCTCTTCTCTGAACAGAGTCCGAGTTCGATCTTGGAGCAGTATTGCACCACATTTCAGATTGACTGATGCCACTGCTACGGCTGACATAAAACTGACATCAAAACGTTCACTGGCCTTCCAGTTCAAAGGATCTGGTCATAATTTATGATTCTCCCTGCTGTACTAAATCTGTGACAGATGCCCTTGATGTTGGATAGATTTCTCAGAATGAATTAACTCACCGCAACGAACCGGTTTGAAAGGAGATGTGGAACTATAGTTAAATGCTCTCTGCAGCTTGGATTGTATAATGAAAGCCGTCGTTTTCCCGTGCGGTTCAGCACAATGTTCAATCCCGCAGCCCCTTCTGTGTCTTCTTTTTCTAGTTTCCAATACAAACAGTTTGCAGAAGTGATGTAAATGTATTAATTCCAATAATCTGAGACTGGTATGTAGTGAAACATGTGCCCTTTTTCCCTATTTAGTCATATTTGCTGTACTTGTTTATTTTATCAGCACAGATGCATTACTACTCTTGCCACTGCATTCTCACCTGGGCATAGATGTATGTAATTGTCTGATGTCTAATTTTCTATGATGTTGTGTCCCATCTAGAGCCAAACAAGACACTGTGTGTTACTATGGAAACAGAGGCAGCTCTGAACCCATCCGTCTGAATCCAGGTCTGTGTTTTTATTATGGTTGCTGTAGAAACCGTTCATTCCCCATCCACCTTTCCTCCGGGCCTCTGGCCCGTCCATGTTTGCCTGACATTTTCTGTCGGCGTTGCTCTCAGATTGCGTTGTTTGTTGAAGCTCAGGCCAAAAGGACACCCAGCAGAGATGGTGTAGACGCATCTTTGTATCGTTCACGTTGTCTCTCCTCAGCAGGGATCTACGGCTTAAGCAATTCGCTCCTGGATACTCCGTGGAAGAAACTTCTGAAAGGCAAGCAGCACTTTACCAAAGTCGTCGGCGACCAGTCTCTGTCCGGCGACGGATTGGTCCAAGAGCTGCTCCACGTCCTTAACAACGAGGAGCTGTGAGAGACTAACACCCACGCGAAAACATGGAAAAACATGCTCTGTTGTGATTTTTTTTTTCTCAATCTGACACTTAAAAAACAGGTTTCAGAGATTTTTTTTTTTTAAATGTCCCAACTTTTATAAATGTGGCAGAAAAAAAATTACCAATTGAATGCACATAAGGCATATTTACGAAGAGATTTTTCTTTTCTTTGTTCTTGCTTTCCTGTACAGGAACACACCTGACCCACTTCAAGAGCAGCTGGGTGAAGGATACAACAAGTCCGTGGTCCAGGCAATGTCAGCTGTATGCGTCCGCTCTCCTCATTATGGCACAAGGTCAGTGGCTCCCAACCTCGACAAATCTTTCCGTTTGTTCCTCCCGCCACCCTGCTGCGACAGGAAGACTACCAGAAGATTTTTCAGGTCAGGGGTGCTCAAATTGCGGCGCAGGGGCCGTTTCTGGCCTTCAGAGTAATTTTGGGCAGCTCACACCTGCAAGTCAAGAACAGTACAAATTTACCTGACCAGGACAAGCACTGAATTGGTCACAGGCAGCATTTATGAAGGAAAACTGACCCACATCCTGTTCTTGTGTAGAGAAAAGCAATTGTTCCAAATTTTTCAAAAATGATGAATCAGACGGTTTTGTGTTTTTGGTAACACTTTGTTTGAAGGGGTGAAGGCATATAAAACTGACATGACATTGTCATGAACATGACATATCTCCTGTTGTGAACATGAAGGAGTCTTAATGAAGGTTTATGAGTCGTGAAGTGTCATTCGGTAAATAATGACACGTTTAATGGAAAGTTGGCACTTTTAATGAACTTTTCATGCAACATTTAGAGCACCTTTGCTTTATCAGTGTCATTATTTACCGAATGACACTTAATAATAACAGTCATAAACCCTTAAAAAAGCTTCTCTTGCTCTCAGTGAAGGTGGACGCTTTTTTCCTCTGCTCCCTCCCTGCCCATTTTTCCCTGTTTGCTCTGTTTTTGTCCTGTCTTTTTCTGTATTTTTGTACAGGGCAGTAATTCTTTATCACTGCTCCTACTGTTATTTAGCAGGATAAGCAATCTACTTCTTCTCCCCCCATTCTTTGTACTTGGTCTAAAAGATGGTTGTCCTAGTGGTCTGAACGACTTGCTATCTTAGCTCCAATTGCTTGTACTCAGCCATAAAGACACCCATCTCCTGCTCTTTAGTGGTCTACCCAATCTGCGTCCTCTCCCCCCATTCTTTGTACGTGGTTTACAAGATAGCCTAGACTACTTGTCTCCTCAGCTCCCTTTGTCTGTACTGTCCTTGATGAGTCTGAAAGACATCCCCCTACTGTTATTTTGCAGGATAAACAATCTGCTTCTTCTCCTCCCATTCTTTGTACTTTATCTAAAATATGGCTCTCCTAGTGGAGATTTTGTATTTTTATATATTTATTGAATGATGGCCTGTGTAAATATTTATCAAATTGAATGGCCATTCAGGTTTTCATTTTTTTTGTTTTTGTTTTGTTGTTTGTTGCACAAATTCAAATATATGCTACATATCAACCAACAATTCAATCAGTGAATGTGTTTTTTTTCTGAAATACCCCTCTTACTATCAGGTGTTCTTCAAGATTTACCAATGTTGTTTCTGTTTATTTTTTTTTGTTGTTGTTGTTTTTTTCCCCATTCAGGACCAACACAATAATCCTGATAGATGCAGAGGGGAATGTCACCTTCACAGAGCGCACAATGCTCGACGTTGACACGAGCAAATGGAGCACCAATTCTTTCCAGTTCAACCTCCAGGCGTGAAGACAAACTAGAGGAAACCCACTCTGTGCCTTTCTGCAACCCCTTTCCCCCTCCATCAGCCACTCTGCTGCAGCTGCTCTGCCCTCGTTGCATCACCAAGAGTAGAAAGACTTCTGTGCACTTTTTCTTCAGCTAGACGCCGTCTGTCTCATATACATCACCGACATGAATTCTCTGCCCTTGAGTTAAATTCAAATAGCTTTTTTTTTTTCAAATTGTGCTAAGTTAAATAAATCGTCAAAGGACAATTACATTTTTATGAATAAAAACGTTTTATCCACATGTCACAGAACACGCTTGCTGGGATGCTTGACAATGTCTAATCTGTTATTGTCCAGGCAACCATAAAGACCTCGTGGTGCTGTCTAATGTTGTTGAAGTCAAACTTTCTACCTCTAAATTTATATTACCAACAAAAAATACACTCTTTCAGATTTCAGATTGGATCTTTTGAAGTCAAATTACCAAAGTTTGAGGACAGAACAGCATATTATAGATGAAGGTAACCCACTCCATTAGTGATTACTTTGACAGCACTTGGGTATTTCAGAAATGTTATGGTATTTATGGCATCCTGTGTTGTTGAATAATGAATTTACAGCTAGTAGACATGGAATACATCTTATTCAATCACATTCTAAAAAAATACATCATGGGAAAGTGAATATTTGAAGATTTTCTCTTTTTTTTGGACATTTTGAAACTACAGTTTCACGTCTACTCTATTTTTTATGATGATTTTATGTAAACTTCTGACTGCAACTGTAGGTGATTAAACTCCTTGGTGTTATTTGTGCCTAAATATGATAAAGTATGAAGGCTTAAGCATGATTTATTTGTTTAAAAACCCAAGACCTTTTTCATACAAATAACAGATTTCAGTATGTTTTAATTATACAATTCAGCAATGTAGCTCATCTTACATCAGCATGCAAACAGCGACATCTTCTGGCCAAGTGTACTGAAATAAAGCATTTGTTTCTTATTTCGTTGTCATAATCCTGGTTGAAGCAAAATTATCATGCCATGCAGTAGAGTAAATATTTAAATATAATAAAAAATAAACAATTGTGAAACCTAAAACTTCTGTAAGCTGTGAATGTACCTACATTATTTTGAGACCGTAGTTTAACATGAAGAACTTGTTCATTGGCTGGATCCTGAATCTACGTAACAGCGGGAAAAGGCAGGGTTTGGCCCGACGACCAATCAATCATCAAAAAGCCGGTGCTAGTGGGCGGGGCGTGTAAAGATTGCCCGTTGTGTTTTCCCTCAAGATGGCGGGGCTGTTGCTGGAGCCGAATGGCAGCAGTTGGAAAATAAGATCATTTTAAAAGGTTGTGGAGCCCTGTGAAGAGATTCGTTTCGTATATCGCTCAGTGAGTACTTCCTCGGCGTCTTACTAAGCCGTTTACTGATTCGAAAGCAGTGTTTTCATGCGTCTGTGTTTGCTCGTTAGCTCTTTAGCATCGTGAATATCGCTATCGTATAGGCCTAATGTGCAACTCCAGACTGAAGGGATGCTCACTCTCCATTTTAGGCTTCCACGAGTTTGTGTCTTTTGCTCGTTTTTGTAATTTTGGTGGCCGTTTGTGAAGTTGCCGTGCGAACAGACAACAAAGTAGGTCCTGAATGTATTTTAATCTGATACCTATTCTCTGTGGTCATTTTCCCCCTTTTATCTCCTAGATGTCCGCAGCGGAGAATGATCAGTGCCTCTGTTCCAAAATAAGCTGAATGCATTGTGATTTCCAATAATTGAGACAGTGATTCTGAAGGCTGTCTACATTAATGAAAAGAGCAATGTAGTCAGCTTAGCATATTCAGCATCTGATACGTGGCCTATACAGGGATGATCTTCTGCATTGGAAATTTGTAAAGATTTCTTCATAGTTGTCAGCTAACATTAGATTTAGGTTTTAACTTAACCACACACACAAAAAGAAAACGTAAAAATAATTTATTTATTTTTAAACAATGGATTCAGATGACGTTCTCCCCCCTCTCCCCTTGGAGCCACCTGATGATTTTAGCCTAGACCAGTGCAGAGCACCTCCACCACCTCCCCTGCAAACGTCCAGTGACGCAGAGGTAATGGACGTTAGCTCTGGTGGTGATGGACACACATACACCCCGGGGGATGGGGAAGCAAAGACGCAGGAGTGCATGAGTGAGAGCTCTCTGATTTTTTGTAGCCACCTTTCCAGTGAGGCCAGTCCCAACCCAAGGTGCCCCAGAACGGCCCGCCACGCTCCTCAGGTCACCAAGTTTTTGCCGGACCTGAAGCAGCTCAGAAATGTTAAGATCAGGGTAAACTTCTCTGAAAACAGCAGCAGCAGTACCAGTAACGTTAGCAGCGGCAAAGACAGGAAGGTTTTATACACAGGTGAGGGTCAGGAGGCAGGAAGTGAAGATGGCTTAGCTTGTCTGAATGGTGAAGTGGAAAACATGATGAACTTGCTGGAGGACGCTGAGGGTAGCAGTGGAGCTGGGGACGCAGCAGGAGGGAAGTCGGAGGACAGCGAGGTAGACCTGGAGAATAAGGTAGAGTTTGCCGTCTTGGATGAGTTGGAGGACTACTACGAGAACCTCCTGGACCGGGGCGATGGGGAGCAGGGCGGCTTTAAATCTGACGCCATAGTTCAGCAGGAGGAGGTGCACGACGAGGCGTCGGCCTACGCCTATGAGGTACGTCTGAGCTCATTTTTGTTGTCTAGAGTTCAACCGCTTTTAAAAGATAGTTAGAAAAAAAAAGATAAATTCTTCTCACCATAATAGTCCTTTGGTGTTATCTTTTTTATACACCCTCATGAGTCTTTGTGTCTGTTGGTCTGTTCTTCTCCAAGAGGAAGCATTCCTGACTGTATTTCCGAGCCGTTTCCGTTTGCCGATCCTAACCGCTTCCTCTTCCAGGAGGGCTTCGATAACGATGTGGATGCTCTTCTGGAAGAGGGCATGCCAGTCCCAAAAAAGATGCGCCTAGCAGAGGACAAGTATGCCGGGGACAGCGATCACCAGTCCGACGGAGACGGCGAAGGGGGAGTGCAGCCGATGGTGACCAAAATCAAGACTGTGCTGAAAAGTGAGTGGTGGACTCGTTCTGACTGGTTTCTGGTCTGTTGGGCTCTGTCTTTTATGTTTCAGTAACAGATATCATTATCTTTGCACCCGTACTAAAGATGTTTAACAGTCATATTGTAGCTGGTATTAAGTAAATCAGTAATCAGACTGAAGATAGATGCATAAATTAGTTCCTCTAGATCTTGTTGGGACATTAGTCCTGGGCCTGTCCTAATAAATCAGTTAATCGCATGGAAAACTGGAGGACTAAAGTCTTCTGTCTGGTGCTTTGATCTCAACCAGTCCCTTTTTTTGGAAGGACAATTTTGTTTCCAGAGACTTTATGATTCGTTCCATTTATTGTTTCTGTTGTATTGTTTCTTTATTTTGGATATTTAAAATGTCTTCCATTCCAGTGTTAAGTGTTGATTGGAATTGAAGTGTATCATATTACCTAAAAATGATCTCAAAACAACAATATCATCATTGCAATAACTTCTGGTACAATTTATTGTCCAGCAAAATTTGTTATTGTGACAATCCTTTAATACTCAAAATGTTCTTCAGGCTATCGCCTGCAGCATCAGGGTGAGCTGCAACAAAGGCTCATGTCTTAACAATAGCTGTGTTTCCATTACAAATGAGTGCAAAGCTTTGTTGACATTTCGCTAATTTTGGGGGACGGGAGGGGGGAAACAGACAATTACAAAGAAGGCTGACTTTGTAATTGTCTTTATGTGATCAGGTCAGAGTTCATCTATGTTCAGACCTGATCAGTAGTTTTTTATCTTTAATAACTCGAGCTGTGTGCCGACTCTGGATTGTTTCTCTTTAGGTATATTTAAAGATATTTTTTCTGTCTTCAGCAGGTGTGCAAACAAATGCTGTAAATATATGTATGTGTGTGTGTGTATATATATATATATATATATATATATATATATATATATATATATATATATATATATATATATATATAATTTTTTTTTTTTTTTTTGCAACTGGTTGTCAAGAAAATGGCTGCTGTGAAGATGTTGTATAAAGATTTTTATGACGTATGTATAAATAAAATCACATGCATTCAGGTGTCGATCCTACAAATAAAAAGTACTACACACAATAGTAAAGTATAGCATCATAAAAACCTAATTTTCTGTATCAGATCTTTTTACAAGTTTAATTTCTTTTAAGTGTCTTCAGCTCATGATCTGCTTATCATCTAGCACACAGCAGCATTAACCGTATATTAATGTTTTGTTTTTTTGTTTTTTTTTTTTTGTTTGACAGGTCGAGGTCGTCCACCAACCGAGCCTCTTCCCGACGGTTGGATCATGACATTCCATAATTCAGGCATTCCAGTCTACCTGCACAGAGAGACCCGAGTGGTCACCTGGTCCAGGCCCTACTTCCTGGGAACGGGCAGCATCAGGGTGAGCTGCAGCAAAGGCTCATGTCTTAACAGCTGCGTTTCCATTACGAATGAGCGTAAAATTTGTTGATATTTCGTTAATTTTTGGGGGGTGGAGGGAAACGCACAATTTGCCATATTTACAGTAAAAAGAGAAACAATTAAAATCACACATGGATAAGTTTGTTCACACAGTAACTAGTTAAAAAGCATGCCATACCGTCATCCTCCGTCCACTTCCTGTAGTCTTCTTCGTCTTTTCCGCAAGTAGTGATCGATTGATTTAAATGAGACGGCGCGTATAGAACATACAATGCTACCGAAAATATACCGGATTTAGAAAAGTGCTAATTTCCATCCACTGATACATTCATACATTTAAAAAAAAAGAACTGTGTATAGCAGGAAAAAAGTTTACAAAATTACGTCTGCCTCTGAAATTAAACATGGAATTCCTCAAAGGTGCCCAGAGCTTATTACTAACCAACCATCCTTTAAGCTGATTGGAGGAGCGGTCTCTGTTGGCGACAGGCAGTGTGTCCCGGCACGTCCATCCTTAATGGGTAGAATATTCTGTGAAAACAACAACTTTCTAAATCGTGAGTTTCAATTTGGAGGTTGAATCAGATTGAAAACCGAATGTTCAGTTCTGTAACATCCAAATACGCCGATTTCCATAGAGCCAGAGAATAGCGCTACCTCGTCCTAGCACAGAAAAACTTTTGACTGAAGAACGCTGTCGAAATTTCCGGGTTTCCATCGAGCAGATTTATTTTGGTAACTTCAATTTGCACAATTTTTTTTTTTTTCTACGGTCAATAGAAACACAGCCATTACGCGTGTTGAAGGCGATCTTCTCGGTTGGAAGATTTAATTTACAAACCCGAGATGTAATCCGGGTGTCGAAGCACGCTTCTGAACTCTCATGGCTTCTCGTTCAGAAACACGACCCGCCGACTAGCAGCATCCCCTGCTTACACTACAAGAAAATGAAGGACCAGGAGGAGAGGGAGCTCAACGGGGAGGTAAACTCTAACGAGGCTGCTGCGAAGGCCAGCGACACGGGGAAGGAGGACAAGTCGGCGGGGGACCAGGAGGAACACCCTTCGTCCACCGTCGGCGAAAGCAGCCAAGACAGAGAGAGCGTGGACGAGAGCAGCACGCAGAGCAAAGAGGTGCAGGCGTACGACACGGCTCAAGGAGCCTTAGGGCAGGTCAAGGCCAAGGTGGAGGTGTGCAAGGATGAATCCGTAGGTAAGGAGTTTGGACGTTAAGCGGACGGGTCTCTGTTTTTGATATGAAACAGGATATCTCCTAAAAAAAAAAAACCCTCGCAGAACTTGAAGAATTCCGTCTGTACCTGGAAAAATGCTTCGACTTCGAACAAGTCACCGTCAAGAAGTTCCGCACCTGGGCAGAGCGGCGGCAGTTCAACAGAGACATGAAGAGGAAGCAGGCGGAGTCGGAGAGGCCGATCCTTCCCGCCAACCAGAAGCTCATCACCCTGTCGGTCCAGG